TCCATATGTGAAGGGTTAGCTAAAACGCTGCATACCTTGTGGGCTGAGCCACCACACAATCTATGTTCTATTTTATAGAAATGCTTCCCCATAAGATGCAGCCCTAGAAGGCCACCTAGCCCTGCTGCTTTCCCCAGAGCAAACTGTGACTGCACCAGTCTGACTGCTATGAGACAAATGGATTCTAGAGAATGACACTGGTGATGGCAATTAATGTGCTTAGCGCCTGCCTATCATCCTACAACAAGATAATCTGAGTTGAGAGAGCAGGGCTTTGTGGGGGGTTAGGAAGATCAGTTACATGGATAGAAAATGTGCCTGTGACCAAACAGGATCAATTTTTGGCACAGAATGAATCAGGTAGAATGATGAAAAGGGATACAGAAGATTCAGTTAATTAATCAAAACCATTAAAGAGCTAGCCTGCCATGTTTTCCTCTATTTGGGGAGGGAGAGAAATCATAGTTTCTATCAAAGCAGCAGCAGCAATGTATTTTTTAAAAGTCATTTTTCCTCCCATCTTTCAGGATCTGCGCCATTATATTAAAAAGACCAGAACCTGTTAGTAACATGTTCCATAATATTCCCATGGTCGTACCCTCAAGGTACCGATGATTATAGTGAATTCTAAGGGGTGATGGGATATATGGCATGTCTGAAGAAACCTACAAAAACAGTATACCCTCCATGTGCTTTACATCCTGAGGATTAACAGTAGCAAAGAGGATTATCAATGATCTGTATGTTTGCACTGACCAGATTAAACATCTGCACTGAATTAATCGGAGTAGCTGTAGCCAAACAGATTGCTGACACTACGCTAATCCAAACAACTGAAGAAAATGCTGCATACTACGTTGAAAGTATTTGATTTATAACATCCACTTCTGTTTACGTGCACATACAAAAAACTTTTGAGAAATAATCTTCAAACAAGATTTTAGTTAGACTAGACAAGAATTACTATACATTATGAATTAAACATAAAATTGTTGTAACAAATATTTCTTCTCATTCCGAGTCTGGCAGAGTAAAGAGATGCATGAATCATGCTGCTTAGAAATTCAACATGAAGTCACATTGTACTATACTTCTAATGCATAGTTCACTGGTGTAAAATTCATCAGTTTTAGTTACCCTACAAGTAAATCACCTGCCCCTCACTGAATTGAGCTGTCATATAATTTGGTTAAGGCTATGATTATGCCATGGAAGTTACGGAATCTGTGACTTCCAGTGACCTCCATGACATTGTCTCCAGGGTCGTGCTCCAAATCCAGTGACCCTTCCCCGGCCCCCCTCTCCCCGCCGCACACACACACACACACACACACACACACACACAAAGCTCCCAGCCTCCACACTCGGGAGGATCCCCCATAGCTGTCCAGCTGTGGTGGGCAACAAGGAGACCTGACAGCTCCCAACCATAGTAGGGGACCCCTCGGAGCACTGAGCTATCCTGGGGATGAGGACCCCCACAGCAGCCCAACCCTATAGCAGGAGAACCCCACAGCTCCCACTGACCACAGCAGTGGGGGACCCCAAAGCCCCAGCAATCATGGGTGCTGAACATGCCTCCCAATTTTGTCAAGGATATTTTTAGTGAAAGCCAGCGGCAGGTCATAGGCTTCCATGAAATTCTGTTTATTGCCTGCAATCTGTCCGTGACTTTTACTTACAATATCCCTGGCAAAAACTTAGCCTTAAAGATGGTGTTTACTATATATGAGGTATAATGTCTATAGTTTTTTACCATTTTATAAAGTAGAAAACCCCAAAGTGTGTTAAGCAACACAGATAGGAGTGTAATTAAATCTTGGAAATGGACTGATATGATAATAAGCATACCATACCTAAGTAAACCAAAGAGAAATCTACAGGACTCAACTAATGCAATTTCAGTAACCCAATGAAAGCCAAATATTTCCACAGTATCTTCCTCATAGTCAGTTGGAGAAGGATCCAGTCTCAGCAAAAGCCTGAAAAAAGAAAGTGAGTACATGTCACAGATTCTTCTATAATACATTATAAAGCAGAGGATCTCACCCTTTTTCTTTCTGACCCCCACCCCTGCATGGTATAAACTCCATGCCCTACCTATGTCACAACTACTATTTCTCTGTATATAAAAGCAAGGGCCCATGTTAGGGGGTAACAAGCAGGGCAACTGCCTGGGGCTCCTAGGAAGCTACATTGCTCAGGCTTCAGCCCCGTGCAGTGAAGCTTAGGATTTCCGTCCTGGCCCCAGTGAATCTAATGCTGGCCCTGCATGGTACCCCCCCGAAATACTGCTTGCAGCCCCCCAGGAGTCCAAACCCCAGGTTGATAACCTCGATTATAAAGGATACAATACCTACAGAAGGCTTGCCTATTACTATTAGTTTATCAATGTATCTGTAGCATATATACTATAAATTGGAAGCTCCACCGGTGCTCTTCAAGGAAAGGCTGTCGATATTATATCACTGTAAAAGGTTTGAGCATATGAAATATAGCAATTCCTAATTCCAACAACATAAGAGCATCACTATCATAAACCCCCACCCACATTCTAAAGCATCTTTCACTCTTACAACAGGTCCTGCTTGAGGCACAATACACAACTTGTTTTTAATAGGATGAAGGAGACTGCTACATTACCTACAAAACGCTACTTATTTATGAGATATGCATCATACTTTAATGTATGTCACAGCTGAAATACTTATGCACCTGAATGGTCCAGCATGTCTAATAATTATCTCTAGAATGAGCATTTATTCTTCTATGTAGACTTACTAGTAAGTAACCCTTTGGACACAGATACAGAACATAACCTTAAACAGCTGGAATGAACACATCCACATAGTGATTTTATAAAAACTCTAGGCCAGGAAAATCATTTTAGCTTAGCTCTCAAGTATTCTACAGACTTCAGGGATTAACTCTGTCACCTATGGTCAATTCTGCATCATTAGTGCACACAGTTTAAAGAAAAAAAAGGATACAGTACCTCTTGAATAACAATGACTAACATTGCTAGTTTAACTGTAAAGAAAATATAGCGGACAAAAAAAATGGCCTTTCATTGTGAAAGTGAAGTTACTATTCCCCGGCACTATATTTGTCTACAGATTCGGTAGTCAGAGAGAAAAGCAGCACCTTCTCAGTCACCCTGATACTTCCTTACCTAGAAGTGTATAGGTATTTCAGGAACAAAACACTACTTATTTATGAGATGTGAGCCAATCACTGTCTATGATAGTATTATTAGCATCATCTCTATCGCAGTCATGCCAAGCAGCCCAGTTCAAACTGGAGCACAGTTGATCTAGGCACTGAATACTTCCATCTGTGTTTCTATGAACTTACAGTATAACTAGAAAATGCAAACAAAGGAATAATCATCCTCACTTTACAAATGAGGAATACATGGGCAGATAAAGTGACTTATTCAAGATCACAAAAGAAGTCTGTGGCAGAGCTAGGAATTGAATCCAGCTCTCCTGAATATGTTCAACATAAAATCACCCTTCTTCCCAGGTATGAGTGGGAGGTTTGTCTGGGGGATGCAAATGGCTGAAGAAGAAAACAAATGTAAAAACACTGTCAAGACCTCTAATGTGGCAAGCAGCTGCTGAAAGAAGCAACTGAAACATTCCAAAAGTATAACACACTTTTAAATGCAGTATAAACATACCTCTTAAGAGACCCACTTGCTAGATAAGACTCTACAGAAAAGTGTCTCCCTCCATCTCTGTTGTCCAAAGCACAGGAAAAACAAGGGGGTCTTGAGTTCTCCTTCTCCACTTCCATAGCCATCTCTAAACTGTCAGTAAGGGATGGAGGTGTGAGGGAAATAGTGAAGTCATCATTCATTGTTCACACCTGGTTGCTGAAAATGTGTTTTAAAAAAACAAATATAACTTAAGTTTTCTGGAAATGATTTTCTTGTAGCTATGTTTTCTCTACTGAATGATAAAAGGTAATTGAGTTAAAAAAAAAGACTCCTTTGTTATCTATGTCCTACAATAAAAGAACATTGCAGCCCAAATGCATGCTAAATAGCAATAAATCTGCAGACTGAATCACTATTCCATTATTAATTATGCAACTATGTAACTCGCATATAGATAAAGTGAGTAAAATTACCATATGATTAATTCCAATTTAGCTAAGACTGCAAGAAAGCTGGTATTTAAAATCTCTTTACCAAAAAATCTGAGAGAGGAGGGAGAGAACAAAAGCAGGATGACGAATGTTCACTAAACAAGGACATATATCTAAAAGAAAACTTTATAACCGACTTTAAAACATTAATTTTTCTGTTGTTTTTTAAACAGTATACTGAAAGTGCAAGTTATAGAGCTCTGCCATAATTATACCTATTCTAAGTTCAACCATGGATTTCAATTTGAGTGCTGGCACTTCTCAGTAATTTTTTTACATGACCTAACTTACTCTGCAATATTGTTTAGTCTCAAGTCAATATCATCAAGTATTCATTGCTTAAACATATTTTCAACTTTGATGCCTGGTTTGAACTTCCCTGTGAATTATTAAGTATATTCATTGTAATTTTACAAATCCAAGTAAACACAGTAGTACAGCTAAGTAGCCTGAACCAAATTAATGGGATCATTTCACACACCCTTGAACTAACCCTGATTATAAATATAGTAGCACCTGATCACAGAAGGAATCCCACCCAAAGCAAAAAAAAAAAAAAAAAAAAAAGGGCAAGGACTCTGGACAGCACATTTTAATTTAACTCCAGAGATGGATTAGGGACAGATCTTTATATTTATCATCCATATACAATTCTGTGCATTTCCCACCTTCAGCAGTGCTGAATATTTGAATCAACAGCTTATTTGAGCCTTTCCTAACTTTTCTTGTAAGCTCATAGACTATAACTAACTCCAGCTATGTGACTAACATAACTTGAGTTGACATACCTTAGGTTGAATTACTGCAGGGTCTTCACTGCAGTGATCCAACAGAAGAAATGGTCCCATCAACTTACCTTACTCTTCTTGTGGGGTGCACAGTACAGGGGTCATCTGCAGAGTGCTCTGCAATTGATTTGGTGGATCTTCTCTAGATCCACTGTATGGTGATTTGCCTGCCTGGTGCAAAGGTTGTGGATTTCTCGAGATGTCTCGATAGACTTATGTGTAGTGCTGGGAAAGAGCCAGTGGTCGTGGTACATGTAGCTACCAATGGGGTTGGGTGGGGTAGGGTAGAAGAGAGGTTCTGGAGGCCAAATTTAAGCTGCTAGGAAAGAAATTGAAATCTAGGACTTCTATGGTAGTGTTCTCTAAAATGCTTCAATTTCCAAGTGCAGTGCCAGGTAGGCAGGACGAATTTCAGAGTTTCAATGCATGGATGAGATGAAGGTATAGAGAGGAGGGGTTTAGATTTATTACAAACTGGGGAAACATTTGGGAAAGGGGGAGCCTATACAGGAAGGACAGGCTCCACGTAAACCAAAATGGAACCAGATTGCTGGAACTTAACATTTAAAAAGTCATAAAGCAGTTTTTAAACTAAGGTCTAGGGGAAAGCAGACGGTCTATGGGTGCAGAGGAAGACAGGGATCGGACAGAGATCCTCTCATAGGGGAGGGATTATTAATAGAGATTTTCTCTATCCCCTAATAAGGAGGAGAGGATGGAAGATGATAAAATATGGGTAAGATCAGATGAGAATCAATCAAAAGAAAAAGTTTAAACACATCAGGAAATGGCAGACAGATAAATAGTGACAATTTTTTGAAGTACTTATACATAAAAGCTAGAAGTCTACATAATAATAAGATGGGTAAACTAGAGTGACTCCTATTAAAGGAGGATATTGATGTAATAGGCTTCATAGAAACTTGACGGAATGAGGACAATCAATGGGATACAGTCATACTAGGGTACAAAATATATTGGAAGGACAGGACAGGTCATGGTGGTGGGGGAGTGGCACTATACATGAAAGAAAATGTGGAATCAAATGAAGTAAAAATCTTTAATGGAGAAAATGTTCCATAGAATTGCAATGGGTAATAATTCCATGCTCCAACAACAATCATATAGCACTAGGGATATATTTTCGACCATCTGACCAGACAGTGATAGTGACTATGATATGCTAAAGGAGATTAGAGAGACTATCAAAATAAAAAACTCCATAATAGCGGGGGATTTCAACTATCCCCATATTGACTGGGTACACACCTCAGGACAGGCTCAGAGATAAAATTTCTTCATACCTTAAGTGACTGCTTCTTGGACCAGCTGGTTCTGGAACACACAAGGGGAAAGGCTATTCTTGATTTAGTCCCAGTGGAGCGCAGGATCTGGTCCAAAGGGTAAATATAACTGGACCACTTGGAAATAGTGACCATAATGTAATAAAATTTAACATCCCTGGGGTGGGAAAAACACCTCAGCAGCCCAACACTATGGCGTTTAATTTCAGAAAGGGGAACGATACAAAAATGAGGAAGTTAGTTAAACAGAAATTAAAAGGTAAAGTGACAAAAGTAAAATATCTGCAAGCTGTATGGAAACTTTTCAAAGACACCATAATAGAGGTCCAACTTAAATGTATATCCCAAATTAAAAACACAGCAAGAGAACCCAAAAAGTCCTGATAAAAAGAAATCTTTCAAAAAGTGGAAGTCAAATCCTAGTCAGGAACATAGAAAGGACCATAAACTCTGTCTAATTAAGTGTAAAAATGTAATAAGAAAAGCCAAAAAGGAGTTTGAAGAACAGCTAGTCAAAAAGTCAACAAGTAATAGTAAAATGTTTTTTAAGTACATCAGAAGCAAGAAGCCAACAAAACAACCATAGGGGCCCTTGGACGATCGAGATGCTAAAGGAGCACTCAAACATGATAAAGTCATAGCGGAGAAGCTAAATGAATTCTTTACTTCAGTCTTCACAGCTGAGGATACTGGGGAGATTCTCAGACCTGAGCCATTCTTTTTAGGTGACAAATCTGAGGAATTGTCCCCGATTAAGGTGTCCTTAGAGGAGGTTTTGGAACAAATTGATAAACTTAACAGTAACAAGTCAGCAGGACCAGATGGTATTCACCCAAGAGTTCTTAAGAACTCAAATGGGAAATTGAAGAACTATTAACTGTGGTTTGTAACCAATCCTTTAAATTAGCTTCTGTGCCTAATGACTGGAAGATGCCTAATGTGATGCCAATGTTTAAAAAGAGCAAGGGGGTGATCCTGGCAATGATAGAGCGGTAAGTCTAACATCAGTACTGGGTAAACTGTAGTAAAGAATAAAATTGTCAGACACATAGATAAACATAATTTGTTGGGGGAAGTCGATGTGGTCTCAGTAAAGGGAAATCATGCCTTACTAATCTGCTAGAGTTCTTTGAAGGGATCAACAAACATGTGGACATGGGGGAATGCAGTGTATATAGTGTACCTTGACTTCCAGAAAGCCTTTGACCAGGTTCCTCACCAAAGGCTCTTAAGTAAAGTAACAGAGGGGTAGCCGTGTTAGAGCTTCTGTGCCTAATGACTGGAAGATGCCTAATGTGATGCCAATGTTTAAAAAGAGCAAGGGGGTGATCCTGGCAATGATAGAGCGGTAAGTCTAACATCAGTACTGGGTAAACTGTAGTAAAGAATAAAATTGTCAGACACATAGATAAACATAATTTGTTGGGGGAAGTCGATGTGGTCTCAGTAAAGGGAAATCATGCCTTACTAATCTGCTAGAGTTCTTTGAAGGGATCAACAAACATGTGGACATGGGGGAATGCAGTGTATATAGTGTACCTTGACTTCCAGAAAGCCTTTGACCAGGTTCCTCACCAAAGGCTCTTAAGTAAAGTAACAGAGGGGTAGCCGTGTTAGTCTGAATCTGCAAAAGCGACGAGGAGTCCTGTGGCACCTTATAGACTAACTGAAGTGTAGGAGCATAAGCTTTCGTGGGGCATTCTGTAAACTGCGATACCCACACGAGGAAGTGAGGAGACAGATTGACAGAGCCAGACGTGTACCCAGAAGCCTCCTGCTACGGGACAAGCCCAAGAAAGAAACCAACAGAACACCACTGGCCATCACCTACAGTCCCCAGCTAAAACCTCTCCAACGCATCATTAGTGATCTTCAGCCCATCCTGGACAATGATCCCTCGCTCTCACAGGCCTTGGGAGGTAGGCCGGTCCTTGCCCACAGACAACCCGCCAACCTGAAGCATATTCTCACCAGCAACTACACACCGCACCATAATAACTCGAACTCAGGAACCAATCCTTGCAACAAACCTCGGTGCCAACTCTGCCCACATATATACACCAGCAACACCATCACAGGACCTAACCAGATCAGCCATACTGTCACTGGTACATTCTCCTGCACATCCACCAACGTAATATATGCCATCATGTGCCAACAATGCCCCACTGCTATATACATCGGCCAAACTGGACAGTCCCTACGTAAAAGAATCAATGGACACAAATCTGATATTAGGAATGGCAACATACAAAAACCTGTAGGGGAACACTTCAATCTTCCTGGACACACAATTGCAGATCTAAAAGTAGCTATCCTGCAGCAAAAAAACTTCAGGACCAGACTTCAAAGAGAAACTGCTGAGCTACAGTTCATCTTTAAGTTTGACACAATCAACTCTGGATTAAACAAAGACTGTGAATGGCTTGCTAACTACAAAAGCAGCTTTTGCTCTCTTGGGATTCACACCTCCAGATCAGCTGCTAGAAGTGGGCCTCATCCTCCTTGATTGGATCCACCTGGTCATCTCCAGCCTGATCCTGGCCTGCATATTTATTCCTGCCTCTGGAAATTTCCACTACATGCGTCTGACGAAGTGGGTCTTTGCCCACGAAAGCTTATGCTCCTACACTTCAGTTAGTCTATAAGGTGCCACAGGACTCCTCGTCGCTTAAGTAAAGTAAGTTGTCCTGGAATAAGAGGGAAGGCCCTCTCATGGACTGATAACTGGTTAAAAGACAGGAAACAAAGGGTAGGAATAAATGGTATGTTTTCAGAATGAAGAGAGGTAACTAGTGGTGTCCCCCAAGGGTCCGTACTGGGACCAATCCTATTTATAAATGATCTGGAGAAAGGGGTAAACAGTGAGGTGGCAAATTTTGCAGATGATACCAAACTGCTCAAGTTAGTTAAGATCAAAGCTGACTGTGAAGAGCTTCAAAAAGATCTCACCAAACTAAGTGACTAGGCAACAAAATGGCAAATGAAATTTAATGCTGATAAATGTAAAGTAATGCACATTGAAAAAAAATAATCCCAACTATACATACAAAATGTTGGGGACTAATTTAGCTATAGCTACTCAAGATAGATCTTGGCATCATTGTGGATAGTTCTCTGAAAACATCCACTCAATTTGCAGCAGCAGTCAAAAACAGAAAACAGAATGTCAGTAATAATTTTAAGAGTAGAGAATAAGACAGAGGATATAATATTGTCTCTATATAAATCCACATCTTGAATACTACATTCAACAGAAGTGGTCACCTCATTTCAAAAAAAGGTAATTTTGTACAGGCAATCCCCGACTTACGCGGATCCGACTTATGTCGGATGCGCACTTACGAACGGGGCTTTTCTCGCCCCGGAGCTCACATGCGGTGGGTTGCCACCCGTGTCCTCCGGGGCGAGAAAAGCTTCTCCCGGTCTCCCTGGTCTGCTGGGGGGGGTCCAGCAAAGCCGCTGGACCCCCCTAGCAGACCAGGGAGACAGGAGCAAAGCCACACGGGTGGCGGGGGCCCTCCACCTGTGCGGCTTTGCTCGGGTCTCCCT